GGTTTGGCAAGGAGCCTAAGAAGGTACAGATCTACTAATGGCTTGTTTTTTCAGAACTCAATTTACTCATTGTCTTACATTTGTTTACCTATTACAATGCCAGAAATTAAGAATAGTACTCAGAACACCTAGGATTTGTTGACAGTTAATCCATCTCAGAACAAGCAGAATGAATGTCACTTCCTCTAGTTCTTACTGTAACCATAGAGCTTCTGAGAACACTCAAATGAATGTAATGCCCAAGATACACTGGGACACTGTCCAAGATAATCAGATACTTCCCCAAATATGTGGGGGACACAGCCAGGAGTGAATGATGAAACTGAATGAACTGTGGGACAACTGTGCATAGGATCCGTGAGAAGTCTGTGACTAAAATATGGGCCAAAAGCATACAAAGTGCAAGGAAAAGGTATATAGGCTATGTGCGAAATGAATGGTTAAACTCTGGGATGAATGCACACAGGCTGTGTGAGAACTGAATGGCTAAGCAACACTACGTTTAGATTAGTAAAGTATGTTGTGTCTGGCTATTGTCCTTCCCCTATTCCCAAGCAAAACTCCCTAGCCTCAAGGCAGCTCTGCGCCAAAAACTGCTTTTCCCTTAATTATTTTTCTTACAGTAATATTCTAAACAAAAGCCAGAGCGTTTTTCTTTTTCCAGAGTCTCCCTGATGGCAGGGTTCTTTCAGTGTTGAAATAGACTCTCTGGTGAAATGGCCTCCTGGTGACTTAACTGTCTCCAGTTAATCTTTTCACCCTTCACACTGCCATTATCACACACTACGACACAACGCTTCAGAAGGCTGCAGTTGCCCTGTCTCCAGAGGACAAAACAGGCAAAGTAAAATAGGCACTAACACAACTGAATTGGAGCACTATAATACCCCATTCTCACACACAGAACAACTAGACAAAAAAACAAATATTAGAATTAAATCAAGCCTGTGCACAATGTACTTGGTAGATGTCTACAGAATGTTGTACCCCAAAATATTAGAATACACATTTTCTCAGCTGCACATGGGACAATCCCACAAATAGATCATACATTAGCAGACAAAACATGTTCAAGTAAATGTAGAAGAACTGAAATCATCCCATGCACATCATCTGATCATGGTGCAATGAAACTGTAAATTAATGACAAAGGAAATCACAAAAACTACATAAAGATATGAAAATTCAACGATACCCTTCTGAAAAACCAATGGGTCACAGAGAAAACTGAAAGACAAAATTAAACAGTATATACAATTAAACAATAATGCAGACACACAACACACTGAGACTTATAGGATGCAATACAAGTCCTACAAGGGAAATTGATGGAGGTGAACTCACACATCAGGAATACAGAACAAGCTCAAATAATCTAATGTTGAACCTCAAACTTCTAGAAAAAGAAAAACAAATCAAACCCCAAGCTCATACAAGGGAGGATATTATGAAGAGCAGAAATTAATGCAATAGAGAATAAGCAATACAAAGAATCAATGAATTGAAGTTAGTTCTTTGAAAGAATAAATAAAACTGATAAACCAATAGCCAATCTCATCAAAATGAGGAAAAAGAAAAAAAAAACCCACAAATTCAAGCAATTAGGAATGAAAAAGGGGAAATCAGAATGGATGTCAAAGAAATCCAGTAGCTCATCAGTATGTATTATGACAACCTGTATTCTAATAAGATGGAAAACACAGGAGAAATGGACAGATTTGTAGATGCAGTCAAATTACCAAAACCAAATCAGGAAGACACAAAAAATCTACCTAATCCAGTATCAGCCAATGAAATCGAAAATGTACCAAGAAAGAAAAGCTCAGGCCCTGATAGATTCACTGTTTGAACTCTATGTGATTTTTAGAGAACTAATGCCACTAATGCTGAAGCTCCTTAAACAAACTGACAGGGAAGCAGTATTCCCAAAAATCATTCCTAGAAGTATTATCCTGGTTTTGACTCAAAAACCAAAGAATGTAGCCAAGAAAGAAAATCCCAGGCCAGTCTCCCTAATGAACATAAATGTAAAAATTTGTAATAAGATACTGGCACACAGGATGCACCAAATCATCAAGAAGGTCATATATCATTACAAAATAGCATTCACCTCATGGATGCAGGGATGGTTCAACAGACACAAATCAATAAATGTAATAAGCTGTATCAACAGAGCCAAACACAAAGAAAATCACATGATCCTCTCAACGGATGCAGAGAAGGCATTTGACAAAGTCCAACATCCATGCATAATAAAAATCCTACAGAAAATTTGAACAGATGGGCTTTGTACTTCAATCTTTTTTTTGGGGGGGGGACTGGCTCAGCCCACCCAGGGGGTGGGGCTGGCACAGCATGTGGTGGTGGGGATCCAACTGCACTCCCTGCACTTGTCTAAGCAGGTACTTTAGACCGCTGAGCCATCTTGCCGGCCCTGCATTTCAATCTTATAAAACCAATCTATAACAAACCAACAGCCAATATCATATTAAATGGTAAAAAACTGAAAGCATTCACTCTGAACAAGACAAGGATGTCCACTATCACCACTCCTACTAAATACAGTTCTAAGAACAGTAGCCAGAGCATTAGATAAGAGAAAGAAATAGAAAGAATGTAGGAAAGGAAGAATTTAAATCATAATTGTTTGCAGATGACATGATATTCTACATCAAAAAGCTCAAAAACTTCACCAAAAAACCTGTAGGTTTAATATCTAAATTCAGTAGTATAACAAGATACAAACACTCAAATCAATAGCATTCCTATACAAAAACAAGCTCATTGAGAGAAATTAGGTAAACCATACCCTTCACAATCACATCTAAAAAAAAAAAAAAAAATCGAACAGTAATCAATCTGACAATGGGTATAAAAGATCTGTGCACTAAAAATTGCAGCACTGCAAAAAAGAAGATCAAAAAGGGTATCAGAAAACTGAAAGATCAGGGCCAGGGAGATGGCTCAGTAGAATAAGTGCTTGCCTGGCAAGCGCAAGGGCCTGAGTTCAAACCCTCGTTCCACGGGGGGGAAGAAAGAAAAAGAAAATGGAAAGATACACCTTGCTCTTGGATAGGAAGAACCAACATAGTGAAAATAGCCATGCTAACAAAATTTTATGCAGATTATTTAATGCAATCCTAAGCAAAATACATTTAGCATACTTCACAGAACAAATAAAAAATTCCTAAAATTAATTTGGAACCAGAAGGGACCTAGAATAGCAAAGGCAATTCTCAGCAACAAGGAAAAAGCAGGGGACATCACAATCCCTCATCTGAAATTATACTACAAAGCTACTGTCCTAAAATCAGCATGGTATTGGCAAAACAAATAAATAAATGAAAACAGGCCTGAGGGAGAGTAGAAAAAAATAAAAGAGCTAGATTCAACTCCAAACACAATCAGCCACTTATCTTTGATAAAGAAGCCAAATGTTCATTAGAAGAAAGCCTCTTTAATAAATGGTGCTACAAACACTGGCTTTCCCCATGCCAAAGACAAAAACTAGACCCATGTCTATTATACATGCACTAAACTAAAGTCAAAATGGGTCAAAGATCTAAACATTAAAACAGAATCATTTATTGGAAGAGAAAATAGGTAGAAATCTCAAACACATAGGTGTAGGCAAAGACTTCATGAACAACACCCAAACTGCAAGGGAAACACTACCAAAAAATCAACAAATAGGATCTTACCTTATGAAAAAGTGTTTGTACAACCAAAGAAATCACCAACAGAGTGAAAAGACAACCCTCAGAGTGGGAAAAATGTATAGCCAGCTGTCTCTCAAACAAAAAAGGACTTCTATTTAGAATATATAAAGAATTGAAGAGAAAGAAAATCGGGCCCCCCAATTTAAAGGTCCAATCCAAAAAAGGGCATCTGAGATGAATACACACTTTTCAGATGATAAAATACAAATAGTAAACAGATAAATGAAAAAATGTTCAACATCATTATTTATTCGATATATGCAAATGAAAACACTGAGATTCCGTATCACCTCAGAAAGAATTAAAAAAAGAAAGAAAGAAAGAAAGAAAGAAAGAAAGAAAGAAAGATGAAATATCAAACAATCATAATTGCTGGCAGTGCTGTGGGGCAGAAAAAAGCCTCCACTGTTGGTGAGAGTACAGACTGGTGCAACCACTGTGGAAATCAATATGGAGATTCCTCAAAAAAACTAGGGTTAAAGGTCTCATTAGATCTAGCTATTTCCCTTCTGGGTATCTTCTCAGAAGAAATAAGCCCATCGTACCACAGTAATATATGTATGCCCATGTTTATAGCAGCACATTTATCATAGATACATCTTGGAAACAACTCAAATGCCCATCAACCGAGAAAGGGATACAGCAGACGTGTAGGCAGGAACCAGGGTTTGATCCCCGGCTTGCCATGCCGGCCCTAACCCCAGGGTGCACTGAGATAGCGACTGAGACTGGGTGTGTGGCCCTCACCTGTAATCTCAGTGCTTGGGAGGCTGAAAACAGGAGGATCACTATGAGTCCAATCTGTGTAGTGAGACCCTATACTAAATACATAAAAAAAAGACGTGCAGGATACACACATACACACACACATACACACACTCAGCCATAAAGAAGGATAAACTGGAGACTTTTATAGGTAAATGCATGCAACCTGAAATCATACTCATAAGTGAAATAAATCAGACCCACATTTTAAAACATTGTATTGTATCATTGTGAGAGAAACTGAACAAGTAAATATCCAAAATGTACAATACATATTGTGAAATGGGAAGAAACTATTCCAAAGAAAATTGCTAATATTGCTTGGACAAGACTCCATGCCTCTACTTTGTACTCTGAATAACTACCAGGAAGATAATCACATGCAATATATTAAGTATTGTTATTCTCCTACTATCTTTTCTTGAAACTTATTTTTTTAAGGGCGAAAGACAGCAAATCCAAGTTATATGTAGAAAAGAACTTCATTCACTTGATGTAATCTAAATATTCTAAAGAAACTGCCTGCCCCATATCTGTTCATTATGATTTCACTCAATTCCTCCCAGTCATCAAAAGGCAATTTATTCTAGGGAGGTATGATGACAATTAGAGCAGTATTGCAGCTCAATTTGTGTATCTGCCTCACAATTACTATTTTTACACTTTTTTCTCTTTAAAATAAAAAAACAAACTATTGATTAGACTCATGTGTATTTAAACTCACATGTATTTTAAAAGCCATCATTTAATTAAAATTACAATCCAACTCATACATAAGAATGCACATCCAAAAAGTATAAATCTGAAGCAAAGATCTCAAACGTGAATAACATTTGTCTAAAGTATAATCACATTACTTCACTCAAAGCACCTTATAATTGGAATTAGTCAGACAATTCCTGTAGTTCTTACTTTAATTATCATTGCAGTGCAGGTGAAACTACAGTGCTCAAAACAGTTACATGTAAATAAAACAAATTTCAATTTCTACAAAATGAAGCTTTCATCATCCCAAATCTTCCAAATCAATTTAATGTGATGGGTTTCATTAGCCTTTAAATGTAAAATCATAAGACTATAATAAAACAATACCACTTTAATGACAACACCCATTTGATAAAACATTTTTACTAGTACTGAAATATTTACTCAAAAGAAATTTACAAAACCATAATCTACATCTGCATCCAATGTGAACTGCAGTAAAATTCTTTGGTTTTTTCTAGTAATGAAACACTTGATAGTAAGAGCACTTAGTGCCTATAAACTAGACTTTATACTCCAGTGAAAGCATTGATGCTAATGCATTCTAATTTACGATGTATAGTAATGATTCTTACGTGGCCCAACTTGATGTGAAAACTGTCACTGCTGCTCAACTGTGTGGATGGTAATTTTATATTCAGCATATTATACAGCCTGCTGACTTTATATATTACAAAGCTATTTTAAGACATGGTCGGGGGCTGGGGAGATGGCTCAGTGGAATAAGTGCTTGCCTGGCAATCACAAGGGCCTGAGTTCAATCCCCGGTTCCGCAAAAAAAAAAAAAAAAAAAAAAAAGACATGGTTACATAAAATTGTTAATAACTTCCTAGTAAATTATATTGAATTTTTAAAGGTAAGTTGAGTCATATTGGTCTAAATATGTGACTACTCAAGTCCAAATATGATGGATTCTAAGAACTTCTCAATCACTATTTTTTCTAAGGCATTTCAGGATAGGAAGTTTTACTTTTTTCATTTTTTAACTGCTAAATCTGGTCATGTTTGGGGGTTGAGAGAAAAAATGCAGGCACAGTTATGGGTTACAAGGAAAGCTTCACAGAGACCTATACACTTACTTGCAGGCATGGCTATTGCTCTGGGTCAGCTCTACTGCAGTGAAGAA